GATTAACTTTACAAAAAAGTGCAAGACTTGTACATTGAAAATTGAAGGCACATTTAAAGAACTCGAAGAAGACAAAATGGGATGATATTTTGTATTCATGGACTGGAAGACTTAATGTTAAAATGGCTATATTCTCCAAACTAATCTAGATTCAATATAATCTCAATCAAAGACTCTAGTTTTCTTTTTTTATTTCCCCCCAAAATAGATAAGATGACCCCGGAATTCATATCAAAATGCATGAAAGTCAGAATAGTCAAATTAGTCTTGCAGGAGAACGAAGTTGGAAGGCTCGCACTTCCTGATTGCAAAAATGACTACAAAGCTATAGCATTCAAGACAACTCAGTACTGACACAAGGACAGAAATATGAATGAATGGAACGCAATCAAGAAATAAACACATTCATGGTCAACTGATTTTTGACAACAGTACCAGAACAATTCACTGGGGAGGAAACAATAGTCTTTTCAGCAAATGATGGTAAGACAAATTCCTGTAAAAGAATGAAAATTAACTCATACTTCATACCACATACAAAATTAACTCAAAATATAGCCTTAAACGAAAGAGTTAAAAAAACTTGTATATGCAACATATGAATTGATTAATTCTTTGTGATCTTGGGTTAGGTTGTGGTTTCTTAGATGTGACACCAAACAATGATAAAGAAACAAAAAACATCCTTTAAGTATAAATTTTTAAAAATTAACTGCATTAGGAAAATAAAAAGACAACCCACAGAATGGGGAAAATATATGCTAATCATGTATTTATAGAAGTTCTTGTATCTAGAGACCAGCAGTTGCCATAATAGCTATGTCGCTGGACTCCCATGTAATCGATCACAGTTAGAGCATTGCTGGACTCCCATGTAATTGATCACAGTTAGAGCCCCAGACCCGATGCCTTAAACTCACACTGGGCGCATGTGCATGCATGCCCACAATCCCAAGTGGAGAAAGGAGGAGAAGGGATTGCGGTGTGGCCATCCTCCCTGGGGGATGATTTCTCGCATTGTGTCTCTCTGTCTCTCTTGTTTTTCTGGTGAGCACACGCACCCTATAGCAAAAGTCTCTCAAAAAAAAAAAAAAGAGAGAAAGAGAAGTTCTTATATCTAGAATATATAAAAAGCTCTTACCACAAAATAATAAAAAGACAAGAAAAAAAATCTTTAAAGGGTAGAAGATCTTTACAGACATTCCTTCAAAAAAGATCCACAGTTGGTCAATAAGAACAGGAAAACACGCTTGACATCATAAGCCATCAAATAAACGCAAATTAAAACCACAATGAGATATCATTTAACAAGTACTAGAATCAAAAAGATAATGAAATGTGCTGACAAGGATGTGGAGAAATACATATATTATTAGCTGAAAGATAAAAATGGTATAGCCATCTTAGGAAAAGTATGAAAATTCCTCAAATGGTTAAACATAGTTACTATACGACCCAGTATCTCCACTCCTAGGCACACCCAAGAGAGTTAAAAACTTATGTCCGGGGACCAGCAGTTAGCGTAATGGCTATGTCGCTGGACTCCCATGTAGTCGACCGTGGTTCGAGTCCCGGACCCGGTGGCTTAAACTTAC